TAATTTATATAAATTAACCCTTGTAAACCTGCCATATGGTCCTTTTAGCCCAAACATCAGATTTGCTCCTGATTGATTGTGTGCTGTCAAATTGGTTTTGACTCTTTGATAGATTTCTTCCATGATGATCTGTGCCTAACCTGATCCTTCAGGTTTTCCAACATGCACCATCCTCACTGTAGCTGAATCCATCCATCTTGCTGCTGGTCATCCTCTTCTCTTTTCTTATAGTTTTCCCAGCGTTAGAGCCTTCTCTAGAGAGCTAGATCTTCACATAATGCATCCAAAGTAGGATAATTTGAGCCTGGTCATTTGTGCTTTTAGTGAGAACTCTGGGTTGATTTATTCAGTGATTCATTTGTTTGTTTTCTTGGTTGGCTGTGGTATTCTCGTGAGTCCTTTCCAACACTGAAGTTCAAAAGCATCAATACTTTTTCTATCCTGCTGCGTCAAAGTCCAACTTTTACTTCCATAAAGTGTCATAGGGAATACCATGGCTTACATTATTCTGATTTTTGTAGGTGCAGATAAATCACAGCATCTGAATATCTTTTCCAAGGTCTTCATGGCTGCTCTACCAAGTGCTAGTCCATCATGTATATCTTGACTACTTGTTTTTTTATGTTGATGGTTGATCCTAAAAGGCAGAAGCTATCTACCACCTCAATATCACTGTCAGTTCTAAGGCTGGTTGTGTACCTGTTGCCATAAATTTGGTCTTCTTTATATTTAATTCTAATCCCATTTTTTCACTGTGCTCCTTTTATTATACAGCTTGCTAATCCTTTGCATTTTTGGCTATCAGAGTAATGTCATCAGCATAGCACAAGTTATTTATTTATTTATTTATTTATAAATCATATATATATGGCCACCCATTCACAGAACATGACTCTGGGCAGCGTACAATAAAACCATAAAATAACATTATTAAAAGAGAATCCCATTAAAAACATTGAAGCTATTGTTTTAAATGGCCAAGCAACAGCATTAGACATTATAAACAGTGGAGCCATCTCAGGAGATCATCGTTTCCTTGAGACCCCCAGGCCTGTTGACACAGCCAAGTTTTGAGGGATTTCCAGAAGGATGGGAAGGAAGTGGCCAATCTCACCTGGCGGGGAGGATGATGTTCCACAGAGCAGGTGCCATGGCAGAAAAGACCTGTCTCCTGATTCCCACCAGTTGTAACTCCTTAGTAGATGGGACTCACAGCTTTTGATGTTTCTTCCTCCAGTTTTAAAACCACACTCACTTTATTCCAACCCACCTTCCCTTATTTAACTTATATATTCAGGATATAAGTTAAATAAAAAAGTGGAGAATATACCACCATGTCTCACTACTTTGCCAACCTGGAGACTGTCAGTTTCCCCATGTTCAGTCTGTACTGTGGCTAGACTTGTATATAGGATTCATATGAGGACAATGCAGTGTTCGGTGATTCCCATTTTTCTAAGCACATTCCACAGCTTGACATGATGGACAAGATCGACGGCTTTTCTATGAAACACCCAGTGACTTCTTTTTGGTATTCTTTGGCTTTTTCAATTATCCAGCATGCATCAGCAGTAAAACAGATTTGATATACCACTAAGTATTAGTGAATTTACATGTCTATTTTAGTCTTTTGCCCACACACTCAACTCCTTCCTTGATATTTCTTAATTAAGTCTAATTGTTCATAATTATGCATTTAATTAAAATGTAGAAGCAATTGTTAACAGGATGGGAAAAGCTAATATCTTAAATTAGAGCTTGAAATTGATTTATAATCCTAGCTTGTTCCACGATTTGTAAACATAGTCTTTGTGGCAGCAAAGGAAGTAAAGAGCACTGGGAAAGTTTTGTGTATAACTTAATTTATTAAACTGAGATATGATCATTGAAACATATTCAGTGAATTCTAAAAATACCCATATATACATTGGATGGATGGATGGATGGATGGATGGATGGATGGATGGATGGATGGATGGATGGATGGTTGGTCCAAGACCAAGTCACAGAATTTAAATATGCAGTACACCACTAATACATGCATAAGTAAATATATATATAGGACACACTTATATAAAAGGAAGAAGCTCTTTAAAGTTGAAGGGACCAAATGGTTTCTATAAGCTAAGGGTATAAATAAAAATTTTGTACTGCCTTTGAACTGTATGGGTATTGGTCATTTAATAAGAATACCTTAATCTCCTCATCATGAGTCGAGTTTATCAGACTAAAGAGCAGTTGTATTAGCTCTGATCACCAGTGTGTATACAGTGGGCAGTTTAAAAGGATGTGTGAAACAGATCCAGCCTCTATATTCTAGCAAATACATATTCATATGGAAAGTTAACATATTAATTTTATCATATTGTGTAAAGAATTGTAATCCACAACTAAAGATTAAGCTGCTATAGCAACAATCCTCAACTGAACATTTTACATCACTATTGTTTAGTAAAGTAACTTAATGCATGAGTTGGTGAATGAAGTCACTTCATTTTTAATACCATTTGTGTTTAGGAACCATCATTGTTTGCTGTTGCCAAATTGCTAGAAACAGGACTGGTTAACATGCATAGGATTGAAATTCTGTGGAGACCCCTGACTGGTCATCTTTTGGAGGTAACAAATCATTTTATAAATCTTCTATCAATGTTTATGTTTGAAAAATCTTGGTATTTTTCTCTCTCTAATTAAGACTTGAAGGCATAAGAATATCTAGAAAGCAAGTTACATTATGTTGTTTAATATTAGTTGCTTTCCTGTTTCTATACTGTTTTGTTCCTTATTAACCATAGACGCAGAATTAGAAGGGCCATTTAGGCTATTGAGTCCAATCCCCTGCTTAATGTGTACTTTGCGATGTCTGTACCTGTGAGATTGGAAAGTATTAACATGAGAAAAAGGTCACATTTTTTCCCACATGAACACAATAATTGTTTCAGAGAATACACCTTTTCTTATATAGTCATAACTTGTAAATAAATAAAACATACAGATGTGTACTAGCATATAAAATAGTAAGTATTTCTTGACACTAGATCAACTTCTGCTAATTGCATGGACTAATGGACATATCCATGAAGTTTTCTTGGCAACAATATGGAATAATTAATTTTTCTTTTTTCCTTTTTTAATAAGGAACAAAACAAAATAGGATTTTTTTTCCAACTTGGAAAAAGACCTGGGATTTCCTGTGATCTCCCATCCAAACACTAACCAGTTTTTGGTTTTGTTTTTAATATTGGTGTATTAAATTGCTTGTTAATATGTGCATTTATTCATAATCCCAAATCCCTTTCCACATAAAACACTTAATAATGTGGCATAAATTTCATAATTACATGGTAGGAAATAGCATGATTATCAATTGGACTGTTATTACCTTACATGGTTTAGGTCATGTAATGCCGGCCAAAATATACTATATTGCAAATTAAAATTATAATGCTACCTTAACTGAAAAACAGTATAGGTATTCTGGGATTATGTACAATGTAATGTTTTTAGCTACCTACTAAAAGCTCTTAAGTGTGTGTGTGTGTTTGTGTGTGTGTGTACATGTTGACTGTGTTTCTTATTTCAGAATAATTGCTGAAGCTGAATTGTTTTGCTTTATGTTAGAAATTGTATATTAGAAACTTTACGTTTCTAATAAATATGCTTAAGGAGTACTAATTTTTCAGAACAGATGTGCTTTTTTCCTACCAAAGAGAAGTGCTTATGCATGAGCACCCCTGCAGATACAACCAAAACCAGCTTCAAGAGCAGCTGTGTTACCCTGGAAAAATGTGCAGCTGCTTAATTGATTCAAAGTGTGCTACTTTGTACGTGTTTCTGCATGTTGCAATACACATCTTTTAAAGGATTTGCAGAGCCCCAAGATATTTTCAGTGATTAACTACATCAGTCTCAGATTCCAAATTATTGTTATAAACATCTTTTGATTATCCCTGTCTCTGTCATTTAAACAATCTTGGTTTCTACTTACTAAAATGGAAGGAGTTATTCTACAAAATGTATTGTTGAATTCAGAAAGGAAAAATTGTATGTGTTTATTGTTATTTAGCTGTCTATTTTATTATCTTCCCCAATTTCCTCTTTAGAACAAACTTGGCAAATAGGTTAGATTTGGCAGCTATGACAATTCATTGCATCATGGCTGAGCCAATATTTCAATCCAGGTCTTTCCAGTCTAGGCGGACATTACAGTCGTTACATTACAATCACTTCTGGAAACATTATGCATCAGATCTAGAATGATATAAAGCTCAGTTTTGTTATGCTAATATTTATTGCTTGAATTGCCTTAGTTTTCACATTTTTCATTTATTTCCCTTTTCCTTTTATTGCTTCCTATTTTTTTTTAATTCAGAAGGTAAGCATGCCTTGCAAATATGTCTTATTTATTTACTATCTGATCTTTTTCTAATGTAGAATTATCACATTTTGATGTTGGAAAATAATAGATAAAACCAAACTGAGATTTCAAAGAGATGAATTTTAATATATACAGAATGAGCATTTTATAAGGTAGGATGAACTTACACAATACATACATCTGCAACCCTGTGAGTCATCAGAATTGGGTAGAAAATATACTAAAATGTGAAATACATAAAGGTATTATTAGTCCACTGATAAATATGCCCTTAACTTACAGTTCTAATTTAATTTAGTTTTTGAAAATAAATAATGCAAAGCATTTTGCTTGCTGGTAATGCAACAATTGCTGTACTTACATATAGGTAACAGATTGGCTTATAATTATCAGTATAGTTATTAGTATTCTTTCTATGATTTTATAGACCAAATACCCATTTACTGTGCTGAATATTTATTAATGTGTATTCTGACTGTAGGTCTGCCAACATCCAAACTCACGGATGAGGGAATGGGGGGCGGAAGCTTTAACTTCTCTCATCAAAGCAGGGCTGACATTTAACCACGACCCTTCGCTCTCTCAGAACCAGGTAAATAAGCATGCTAGAAAATAATCAGTAGCATAATTGATAATGATGTTGAGTAAGAAGGAAAGTTATTTTCCAAAATTGTATTCATATTTAGTTGTAGGTGGCAGTGGAGCTAGAATTGCAATGCCATGTTATTTGATGATAATGTTGTTCTGCTAATCAATGGGTTTCCTAGGAAACCATCTGCTTATTGGACTAATAATGGTGCACTGAGAAATAGGTCCTATAAATGTCTTTTCCAAACAAAATCGCATTTAGTTGACACAGGATTGCAGCCCAAATTGGATTAAAATGCATTGTGAGCAAGTCATGGCATATGCAATATATTATCATAGTGGTATGAAGTTAATCCATTGCTATTCATATATGATCAAGTCTTCCTTAAATATAAGCTGACGGTTATAGAATAATCAACAAGATTGGATGTAGGTCAGTCTAGTCATTAGCTATGATAAGTAGCTTTTCCCCACTTGTCTGTTTATTCCATTTTCAATCCCAGAGGCCTATGAAACCCAAATAGCCTGTACACTTAGAAGTAAAACTGGTATGTTTGCATTTGTTTATTTCTATTAGTGTTTCCAAGTATGGTACTATTGGCAGGAGGCTTAATCACAAAATTATGATGGTGGAGAATTAGGTGTTGATCACTCATGAGACAAGAACTCAAGCATTTTATGTTGTTTCTAATTTTATGTTAATAAGCAACAGAAGATGTATGAAACTGATGATAGCTATCTTCTTATAATTTTCAGTTATTTTCTTTATTTCTTTGAATAATATTTGCATTTTTTTCTTCCAGAGGCTTCAGCTGCTGTTACTAAACCCACTGAAAGAGCTGTCAAATATCAGTCACCCTGATATTAGGCTCAAGCAGTTGGAATGCGTTTTACAGATTTTGCAAAGCCAAGGGGACAGTCTAGGGCCTGGATGGCCCTTGGTACTTGGAGTTATGGGAGCAATTAGAAGTGATCAAGGGTAAGTTTATTTTAATTATTTATTTATTTTATTTTATTTAAAAGACTTACATGACCATCTTATCTGCCACGCTTCTGGGTGGCTACCAACAATAATAAAAACCAAAGACAGTAAAACCAGAACCTGGCACCCCAACCACCACTCTCCAATACACTCACAAATACAATCCCCAGGCTCCAACCTCACCACTATCCCAGTGATTAGGAAGAGGCAGTCCCACAAATAACCTGGCCCGTGCCATTCAGGGCTTCAGTTTTCTTAAGATGCATAGATCATAATGTCATAGATTTTCCATGTTTTGAAATAAACATCTGTATGCTAACTTTAAAAAAAATGCTGAATTAGTAAATAACATCTGAGCTAATTCATTGTATAAAGTATAAAATGAATTATATGCCTGATCTATAGAAGGAGCTGCATCATAGGCATTTTACATTCAAACAATATGAAAGTATTTTCATGTAAGAGCCATTCATTTGCAGCCCCAAATGATATATATCTGCTAGTATTTCCATCTAACTTTTTTTGTGAATATGCAGGTTGCCAGACGTACAGCTACGTAGGCACATAGAGCTGTGTTTTATATTATCATAATTCCTATTTAGAAATAATTATTGATTTTGTTAATAGAGAGTCTCTAATACGGACTGCATTCCAGTGTCTCCAGTTGGTTGTGACTGACTTTTTGCCAACAATGCCATGTACTTGCCTACAGATTGTGGTAGATGTCGCTGGAAGTTTTGGGCTTCACAACCAAGAACTAAACATCAGCTTAACATCAATTGGTCTTTTGGTGAGTCTTTAATTTATCCTGTTATTTTTTGACTCCCTAAAGATTAAGGTTTTTATGTGAAGGTTTAAATTGACCTTCTGTGCTCACTTTTCTATAAACAAGCCCCATTAAACTATGCTAGAGATTGCTTCTGAATAAATATGGGGTTATAAAAAGCTTTTTGTAAATAAATGTTAATAATAATAAATGTTATTGTTATGGTCACCAGTCAGTCAGTATAAAAGTTACAACACTACACAGCACAAGCTTAAAAGAAAAACTTGAATACAATACAGCTACCATTCTTTAAACAATCACTGGCATATTAATATGGTGAGAGTACAGAACCTAGCAACAGAATTAGAGATCACATTTTTAGATAGATAATTTGAGATTCACCACATATTAACTATAACGATATAATATAGTCTCATAGTAACCATGCACTTAATGTTAGGGACTGTTGGTTTAAGCAAGCTGTATTTTGTCCAGGTTGTACTAATTAATGTAATAGGGTATCCAAGTAGATATACCTATATCTATTGAAATAAAACTCATTGATCGAAAATATAAGATTAAAGGTATTGTGTTTACTATCATCATGTGTAAAATATGTTCTGTATAAAACAGGCACAACTGCCAATATGTATTTTAAGCATTATTTTTTATTATACAAAGTATGACTTGTTGTGTAACATCCGCAACCTGATTGAAATTGTAGCTAGTCCATTTAAAGCATGTAAGTGCTTTAGCGATTGCTTTTTAGAGAAAATAATTCACATCTAAACCTAATTGTGCTTGATGAAACTCCATTTCTGTGGGAAACATGGCCAAAAGACTTACTTTTTCATCTTATTGGTTTTCATTAAAAACACCAAAGTGTTCTACAATATTTTAAGTATTCAAATGAACAATCAAGTATTTAAGAGGGAAGTTGTCTAACAGTATTTCCTCAAAATGCCTTCATGCATCAATCCATCATAATTAGTACCTAAAAATAATACCAAGCTAAAGCATAGCTAAATTTTCAGAACAATTAGTTTATAACTTATAAAATATATATTGTGCATTTTCATTGTTTTTTTTTTACATTTCCAATGCAGGATTGCCACACTTCTTTGTGTTCAGAAATCATTTACAAAGAAGCATTTTTTGTTTTGTAGTGGAATATTTCAGACTATTTCTTCCAAAGAGGTGAAATTATTGAAAAGGAGTTAAACAAGGAAGAATCAGTGTTACAGAAGCAAGCGGAAGAAAAGGGGGTAACACTGAACCGTCCCTTCCATCCGGCACCACCATTCGATTGCCTCTGGCTGTGTCTGTATGCCAAGCTCGGCGAACTCTGTGTAGATCCACGCCCTGCAGTTAGAAAGAGTGCTGGGCAGACTTTATTCTCTACAATCGGTGCTCATGGAACTTTACTTCAGCATTCAACATGGCATACAGTTATATGGAAGGTACTGAAGCTTATATATAATAACATTATTGTTACAATATGCTTGATCCCAGTTCTTCATTATACATAACTTAATACAAGACAAAATTACCCTTTTTTATTATATTTTAAAGTGGCAAATTTTGCCTTGCACCAACTTTTCCTGTCACCAATTTTTCCAGACCTATAAATCACTGTTGTCTGTATTTGTAGCATGGGATTTTTAGTGATTTGTCATATAGATTACATCTTTAGAAGTAAAGATACTGTGTGGTTTTGTTTCTTTTTTCTTCAGCAGTATTTATTCAGTTCTGCTCTTTTTACATCCCAGCTAAGATGGAAACTGGGAGGAGATTTAATTTCTGAGAGGAGTGCTTTAATATACCTGAAAGTCTTTCTTCTATAAATGAAAAATGGCTGTGGGTATAATTTGCTGAAAAGTGAGATCAGTTATTTCTATCAGCAATTAAAAAACCAAAAATACAGTTTCTAGAATTAGAAGACTAAGACATACAGTTGAAAAGGCAACCTGCTTTAAAAAACCTGGATACGGGGAGCCTCAGGATCTAGGAGTTTATCATCTTTGGTTCT